GCACCATATAACCGTTTTGTGTGTTTCTCTGGGATGCTACAGAGGCTGCAAATATAGTTTTACGTGTAGCCTACAGTGTATGCAATCAGAAGGAAGTATTTCCATCTCTCTGCAATATTTTAGCTTTTATGCGAGATGAAATAGATTCCTCTTATCGGTTTGTATAACTCAAAGCTGGCAGACCTTTCAGAGCCTTCTCCAGGTCTCCTAACGATTCTTGCAGCCGAAAGGATTAGGATTCTTCTTTTAGGTTCAAGAAGGTGGCAAACATTGGCTACATAGGTGAGAACGTTTTCTTGGCATCTAGGTGACAACTCTAGCCTAGAAGCTGCTCTGTCATTTCAGATGCTAATTGAACGTGCAGGTGAAACTCGAAAAATTAGAATATCGTGCAAAAGTTCATTTATTTCAGTAATGCAACTGAAAAGGTGAAACTAATATATGAGATAGACTCATTACATGCAAAGCAAGATAGTTCAAGCCTTGATTCGTCATAATTGTGATGATTATGGCTTACAGCTCATGAAAACCCCAAATCCACAATCTCGGAAAATTAGAATATTACATGCAATCAATAAAACAAGGATTGTACATAGAATATCGGACCTCTGAAAAGTATAAGCATGCATATGTACTCAGTACTTGGTTTGGGCCCTTTTGCAGCAATTACTGCCTCAGTGCAGCGTAGCATGGAAGCTATCAGCATGTGGCACTGCTGAGGTGTTATGGAAGACCAGGATGCTTCAATAGCGGCCTTCAGCTCTTCTGCATTGTTCGGTCTCATGTCTCTCATCTTTCTCTTGGCAATGCCCCATAGATTCTCTATGGGGTTCAGGTCAGGCGACTTTGCTGGCCAATCAAGCACAGTAATCCCACGGTCATTGAACCAGGTTTTGGTGCTTTTGGCAGTGTGGGCAGGTGCCAAGTCCTGCTGGAAAATGAAGTCAGCATCCCCATAAAGCTCGTCTGCGGGAGGAAGCATGAAGTGCTCCAAAATCTACTGGTAGATGGCTGCGTTGACCCTGGACTTAATGAACACCAGCAGATGACACCAAATCAACACAGACTGTGGAAACTTCACACTGGACTTAAAGCATCTTGCGGTGTATCCCTCTCCATTATTCCTCCATACTCTGGGTCCTTGGTTTCAAAATGAGATACAAAAGTTGCTCTCATCAGAAAAGAGGACTTTGGACCACTGAGCAACAGACCAGGTCTGTTTTTGTTTAGCCCAGGTAAGACTCTTCTGATGTTTGTTGTTCAGGAGCGACTTGACAAGAGGAATACGACATTTGAAGCCCATGTTCAGGATCTGTCTGTGTGTGTGTGGTGGCTCTTGATGCACTGACTCCAGCCTCAGTCCACTCCTTGTGAAAGTCCCCAACACTTTTGAATGGCCTTTTCCTGACAATCCTCTCCAGGCTGCGGTCATCCCTGCTGTTTGTGCACCTTTTTCTTCCACACTTTTCCCTTCCACATAACTTTCTATTAATGTGCTTTGATACAGCACTTTGGGAACATCCAACTTCTTTTGCAATTACCTTTTGAGGCTTTTCCTCCTTATGGAGGGTGTCAATGATGGTTTTCTGCACAACTGTCAGGTCAGCAGTCTTTCCCATGATTGTGATTCCTACTGAACCAGACTGAGAGACCATTTAAAGGCTCAGGAACCCTTTGCAGGTGTTATGGCTTAATTAGCTGATTAGAGTGGGACACTTTGAGCCGAGAATATTGCACCTTTTCACAATATTCTAATTTTCTGAGATTGTGGATTTGGGGTTTTCATGAGCTGTAAGCCATAATCATCACAATGATGACAAATCACGGCTCGAACTATCTTGCTTTGCATGTAATGAGTCTCATATATTAGTTTCACCTTTTAAGTTGCATTACTGAAATAAATGAACTTTTGCACAATATTCTAATTTTTTGAGTTTCACCTGTATGTCTCTGACTGAATACTGAACACTTATCTGTAATAACACGGAACTAAACTAGATTTACAATTACATATTTCTACTGATTGCATCACATCTCAACTACGGATAAAATGATTCTACTCTTACATTAATGTTACAATAGCCAAAACAAAAGTGAACTAAGAATTTCTTGGAGCCCCTCGAGTCACCAGAACTAGAGTCCCTATTGGAAGATTTCTCTGTTACTATTTTGATGTCAACCAAATGATAATGGTAAACAGGACAAATCTCCCTAATAGGGGCAGATGTAACTATAAAACCCTGACAGGTATTCTAATCAATACCTGAGGTATTGCCTTTAGTTATCCTGTAAACCCTGGTTCACACTGATGTGAATTGTCATGACCATTCAAATTGCATCCAATGATCGGCAAGGGAACTGTTGTAATTGGTGAGAGTCTGACTTTGTAGAAGTTGCACCGATTAGAAAAATAGTTCCTGCACTACTTTTGCCAATTTGTCACACAGATGTCTTTAAGTCGCACCCAAAGTCACACTGCCATCCAACTTTGAAATCATTGAACTTCAAGTTCCCTAGTCATGCCACCTTAAATATGAAAACTGGTCGGTGCTTGAAGCTTAACAACCAAATGTTAGGCACTAGCAACAAAACATCCACAAGAAAGTCTTAAAGTGATTAACAGCAATGGTGCTCAGCAGGGGCGGACTGAAAACTCATGGGGCCCGCAGGCAATAGGGGATAATGGGGCCCCTGTGTCCTTGCCCAAACTCAAAAAAGCCAGTGAAAAAGGTACCAGGGGCATATCATGGGGCCCCCTACTGACCCCAGGCAGTGCCCGAGTTTCCAAATGGTCAGTCCGCCCCTGGTGCTCAGACTCCATCAATGGGTGACCTGGAATGGGGTATTTTCACGGTACTAATTTAGCAATCCTTTTGCAGTCATCAACCAAATGAAAATTAGAGCAACTGCACTTGCAAAGTGCAGTCTATTTGCCTTTAGTAAATCAACCCGTGGTTTAGTGGTAAGCACTTCTGCCTTGCAGCACTGGGGTCCTCAGTTTGAATTCCAGCCAGGGCACTACCTGCATGGAGTTTGCATGTTCTCCCTATACTTGTGTGGATTTCCCCAGGCCACATTTTCTGTGGCTACAGGTAATAAAAGTAGCCATGCAAGGTTTACTGTCTGGTGGGGTACATACTTTTTACTAAAGTAGATAATTGTTAAAGATCCTGTCACATATTTTATTCAATTGCGCCCAATTAACAGATTTCCATTTATAGTCTAGGTCATGACAGTGAGTGGAAATCTCTCCGAGGAAAATCTCCTATTGGGGCTTGTTCAGGCAGGCGATAGCCCTTGCTAACTCACTTAAAAGCAATATGTGGTGGAACACTTTTCAGAGGGTGTTTTACAGGTGGGGAGGAGTGGATATGTTGACCCTCAGTGCTTGTTTAAACCCTGCAGTGTAGTGTGGCCCCATTTACTTGAATAGATTACATCTGGCTGTGGTACCAGCTGCCAAATGCAACATATTTAATTTTTGTAGAAGCCAGCCCAGGAGCAGGGCCCCTACCGCAGAGGTCCAGCCCTGGAGCAGGGCCCCTACCGCAGAGGTCCAGCCCTGGAGCAGGGCCCCTACCGCAGAGGTCCAGCCCTGGAGCAGGGCCCCTACCGCAGAGGTCCAGCCCTGGAGCAGGGCCCCTACCGCAGAGGTCCAGCCCTGGAGCAGGGCCCCTACCGCAGAGGTCCAGCCCTGGAGCAGGGCCCCTACCGCAGAGGTCCAGCCCTGGAGCAGGGCCCCTACCGCAGAGGTCCAGCCCTGGAGCAGGGCCCCTACCGCAGAGGTCCAGCCCTGGAGCAGGGCCCCTACCGCAGAGGTCCAGCCCTGGAGCAGGGCCCCTACCGCAGAGGTCCAGCCCTGGAGCAGGGCCCTACCGCAGAGGTCCAGCCCTATCGCAAAGGCCAGCCCTGGAACAGGCCCCCCGTACCGCAGAAGCCAGGCTTGGTGCAGACCCATACCATAGAAGCTAGCCCTGGTGCAGACCCGTACCACAGGAGCCAGCCAATACCACAGACGCCAGCCCTGGAGCAGACCCGTACCGCAGACGCCAGCCCTGGTGCAGACCCGTACCGCAGACGCCAGCCCTGGTGCAGACCCGTACCGCAGACGCCAGCCCTGGTGCAGACCCGTACCGCAGACGCCAGCCCTGGTGCAGACCCGTACCGCAGACGCCAGCCCTGGTGCAGACCCGTACCGCAGACGCCAGCCCTGGTGCAGACCCGTACCGCAGACGCCAGCCCTGGTGCAGACCCGTACCGCAGACGCCAGCCCTGGAGCAGACCAGTGCCCAGCAGCCGGCGTGCCATGAGCAGGCAGCACATGATGAGAACTCGGACGATGCAGCAACAACCGGCTCTCACAAACCCCGCCCCTCCAACCTCAGCTGAGCGTAGGCCGAGCTCCCCCACTGGGACATTTCGAGCTACGTCACCGTGATCCTGGATCCTGCCGGGGAAAATAGGCGTGGCCCGGTGACGCGTCCTTCCCACCAATCAGAGTCGTCCACATGCAGCGACCGTGAGCCTGGGGCAGCCTCGGAATAAAATGCTATAGCGGCTGTGTCCCGCTGCCACACTAGAAACAGGAGCTGCGCAGGAGGAGACGGCCCGGTGTGCGACACGGCACAGACACAACGAAGGGAGGCCGCGGCCCGGAGACAACGCTTCACGGGACGAACACGCTGCCCGGCGCCGTGCCGTCTAATACCTATTCTATATATGTGTGCCTCGCTCAGTCCCGGGCGCTGAGGTGCATCCATTCCCGGCAGCGTAGAACACTCTGGAACGCCTGGTCTCTCGGCCCCGCCAGCTGTGCATGAATCCCGGGCAGCATCTGTAGAAGAAGGCTCCGTGTGTATCCTCCCAGAGACAGCAGTGCCCGGGGTGGGGGGGCTCCTCGTATGGGCAGAGAGCTGTGAGGAGGACACGGCACGGGCCTATTGTGTGTGTTTGTGGACTGAGCACTAGGCGGACACAGACGACGAGGAGAGGAGCCGGCCATGGAGAACGCACACACCAAGACGGTGGAGGAGGTGCTGGCCAATTTCAGCGTGAACGAGAGCACAGGGCTGGGCCTGGAGCAGGTCAAGAAGCAGAAGGAGAGATGGGGCCCCAACGGTACGTCAGCTGCGGGGCCACTCCATCACCTGCTACAATGGAGGAGGAGGGAGGCGGATGCTGAGGGTGTGATGGGCTCTGATCGGTAACCATGGGCACCCCACACGTTATGATCTCCCCTCCTGTAGTGCCCGATCACCCACACAGGCAGCTCCATACCATACACAATTCGGGCCGATCTAGAGATTATAATGTGTATGGAGAGTGTCAGAGGGGAACTTCTCCAAACTGGAGCAGCTGAGCATGGCAGCCAATCACCTCCTAGCTTTCATTGTTGAGGTTTATCTGATAAAGCTGGAGTTAGAAGCTGATTGGCCGCCATGCGCAACTATTTCAGTTTTGATAACTTCCCCTCTAACACTCTCCATACACGTTACAATCTCTTTAGATTGACCCAAACTGTGTATGGTATGGAACTACCTGTCTGGGTGATCGGGCACTACAGAAGAGATTGTAATGTGGTGTGCCCATAATTACCAATCAGAGCCCATCAGGCCCTCAGTGTGGAGGAGATTGGGAACGATGGGCACCCCACATGTTACAATCAGAGCCCATCACGCCCTCAGTGTGGGGGTGATCGGGCACTACAGAGGAGATTGGTAATGATGGGCACCCCACATGTTACAATCAGAGCCCATCAGGCCCTCAGTGTGGAGGAGATTGGTAACGATGGGCACCCCACATGTTACAATTAGAGCCCATCAGGCCCTCAGTGTGGGGGTGATTGGGCACTACAGAAGAAATTGTAACATGGGTTGCCCATAGTTACCAATCAGAGCCCATCATGCCCTCTGTGGGGGTGATCGGGCACTACAGAAGAAATTGTAACATGGGGTGCCCATAGTTACCAATCAGAGCCCATCACGCCCTCAGTGTGGGGGTGATCGGGCACTACAGAAGAAATTGTAACATGGGGTGCCCATAGTTACCAATCAGAGCCCATCATGCCCTCAGTGTGGGATGATCAGGCACTACAGAGGAGATTGGTAATGATGGGCACCCCACATGTTACAATCAGAGCCCATCACACCCTTAGTGTGGGGGTGATCGGGCACTACAGAGTTGTTGGTGGGTCTGGAGGACATTGTAATGTGTGTTTAGTATTGGATTGCAGGTGATCTCACCATCTCTCTCCTTCCTGGTTTTGGTAATATAGGCCTTATTCACTAAAAAAGAACAAATGTACTTACAAGGTGTATTTTTTTATTTGTTAAATTTATGGATCAGAATGCAACCACGGTGTTTTCAATGGACACATTCACACAGGTGTGTAAACACGCACTGCGTTCAGATCTGTAACACAAAATCCAAAAAGCTATGCCCTAGGATGCACTTTACAGGTATTGGAAGAAAAGGACTATTTTATGTAATATTTATCGATCATTATGCAAGAACCTTTGTTTTAGGCTAGAGAATGCGTAATAAGATCAGTAAAATGTTTTTACACCCGTGTGAATGTAGCCATAAAGCAGATTGTACAGTCAGGTTGTAATGTGTGTGAGTGGTGGAGCAGCCAGTGCTGAATTTCTGGTGACTGCATCATTCTCATCAGAGAAAGAGAGAGATAGGGACAAAAGGGAAATCACAATGAACTGACCCTTGCCCAAGATCTAGCACCACTGGCGTGTACCATCAGCAGCTGTTTGTGGTGTTGCCAGGAAACTGATTAAAAGATCACACAACTTTATTTGTAGACTAGGGACCGGATGCTGTGTTTTATCTCTGGATCAGGGAAGGGTAAGAGAGGGCTCAGACAGCTCCAGGGCACTGACATGGTGCGCCGGCCCCTCTGTAGGGGAAACATGCATCAAAAGAGATCATGTCAGCACTTCCTGTAATGGCCTATCCCGGCATCTCAATGGGAGCCTAGTATCACATCAGCAGAAGATGGCTGCCTGGATGGAACCTCGTGTGTGTGTGTGTGTGATCGAGTACCAGAACCGGTTTCACCACTTCCCTGACATCTGCCGATTGCTGATCTTGGCTTTAATCCCTGTGTCTTTTCTTAAGAGTTGCACAACATCCTGCCTCCTTTTAATGTAGGAGGTGAATGTCGAATTAGCAGACCTTTTTCTAAAAAAGCACTGGGTGACGAAGTGTACATGCTTTTTCGTTAACACACCAAATAAAGATCATTTTTTTGTTAGTCATTGCTCCCTAGAGATCTTTGTTTTGACACTTTTGGAAGGTTGACATATTATTATTTTTTTTGTGTGTGTTTTTTGTATAGATTTCTATAACAAAGAGCTGTGGCTGCAGGTGTCCAGCAACTTAATTTTTTAGGATTCTTTTGTGTACATTTTATTGAGGTTATCATTCAGTGTATTTAAATACTGTACAAATACACAGTGGTTTTCAAATAAAGCTACTGCAGGTAACTAAAATAAACATTTAGGAAGCCTTCAAAACTACAGCAAGACCTTGTTTGACCTAATTGCATAGTACAGTGTGATTAGAAGCATACTAAGTTGATAATGGAATGTTTATATTACAGGGCATATAGTTGGTGCCTGGAAAAGAGCAGGCATGTACCTGTTGAGGATCACCTGGGACTTTGCTTATTTATATAACTGACCTATGTTTCTTGAAATTAACTTTTTTTTTTTTTTTCTTTAATTTTCTCTCCTATGCTTCTTGAACCTGAACCATTTCGGGAACAGAACTACCGGCAGAGGAAGGTATGTGTTTAATGCAGTTCAGCTTTGCTTTATTTGTGCTTCTGTGTTGTCCTTAAGTCATGGTGACAAGTGTTTATCTTTCTCCATAGGGAAAACATTATGGGAGTTGGTGATTGAACAGTTTGAAGATTTATTAGTTAGAATATTGCTACTCGCTGCCTGTATATCGTTTGTAAGTATCTTGAGAACAAAATAAAATCTCAGCATTTAGCATTGTTAGGTAATAAGATAATTGAAATGATAAAGCTTTCCAGAATGTTCTAGAAATCCTGTGGTTTTTTTTTTTTTTTTTTTGTTTTTTTTTTGTTTTGTTTTTTAATTCTGGGACTGTTGGTCACTGTTTGTTTTTATAAAGGAAGATTCATTTTTCTCACTCGCTAAATGTTTAATGTCCTAAGCTGAATGACACTTGGTGGCAGGGTGGATGATATGTTACCACATTTAGTAAGTGACTTTTTTTTTTTTTTTTTTCTCCTTCTGAGCGCTGATGTATTTCTCTTTAACCCCAAGAGAATTCAGAGAAGATTTTGTGCTCTAATTTTTTTGTGTGCTTGTGCTACAAATGAACAGAAGAAGGTTGCTTTTAATTAGTGATCCAGAAAAAAGTACAACAGCTACAGGAAGTGTGTTTTCTGTTTTCATTGGAAAACTTTCTTAGGAGCTCTGGGCATTTTGGACTCATGTAGACAAACATTATTGTGCAGTATTCTTGCATTGCTATGTAATAGAGGTTTGTGCCAGAATATACAGTGTCTTGTATTCCTAACATTGAATGAATTGGATGTTTATCGGGATCTGTTCAGTTGGATAGGAATGATCTCACTCCTGATGAAACCTCCTTCACCCAACATGCCCTGTGTTGGGAAGCAGTATAGAGAGACATGGCTGTATTGGCACAGCTGAATTCAAGTTGGTCAAATGCCTTCCGTTTCAGTAGGTCCCCATGTAGTGGCAATGCTAGTTTTCCTGGGTGAAATGTTTGATCAGAAGTGTCCTATACAGGGTGAGATTTCCCCTGGATTTCACCAAAACTGTATCATGGATGACTGGTTTAAAGGCTTCTGTAGTATAGTGAATCAGTAGAGAATTGTTGCTACTTACCACAAATTAATGTTGGCCTCCATTTACAAAGCCATCTCAAAAATATATAAAATGTGTGGTAAATTTGTATGGTTTCAATAATGCCTTAGTAAATTGGGCAAAATAAAAGGTAACATTTAAAATAACCAAATAATATGGGGAATTAATATCTCGGGTGTTTTTTGTAAATAGATGAGTTTTGTAACGAATGGCAGTGGGGCTACGCTCAGACTCCTGGTGCCTCAGTGTTTCTGTTTTGTACAGGGACCTATGTAAGATACAAACATTTGTTGCAATATTTGGTCTGCAAAACACCTCGAGTCCTTGCAAGCTGTGAAGCAGGGCCAGTTAGCTACTGTTTGTTACAGAGCGAAAGGTAAATGCATATTTTCAGCAATTTTGATTGTGTAGATAAGTAACAGAGAAATTAAAAGTGTAGCAAAGTAAACCTTACACTAAGATAGGGCTATCACGTATTGCATCTTTGAGTATCAGTCTTAATCAGGGTTTGCCTAGTAATGTTAGGTTAACACTATAGAGTTCTGTGTGCCATGTTTGCATGGGCACAACGGCCCATTCATCTAAAATGGTTACCATTCCTGCGATAAATGCAGAAAAAAGATCCCTGACCCTTTTTTTTCTAAAATGGATCTGCAGGGCAGCCATATGGTGTCGCGCCATGCGGTTTCATGTACTCAAAAATGCACTGCATTTTTAAAATGCATGGGGGGTGCCATTTAAGGATTCGTAGCATCCCTGTGCATCCGCTAAAGAGCAGTGCGTTTTGCCCATGGGGAGTTGTGGGTGCAGGAATGCGTGCAATTTACACTCAATTCCATGCCCAGAATGGTTTGAACCTAGGCTAAGATTGCGCTTTGTTACAGTGATGATTTATTCCTACTTGCACAGTATTGTAAACTGGGTTTACTATACAGTGAAGGAGAATGAATCTTCTAATCGTGTGCTATACGTAAAGGATACATTTCAGGATGCTTACTGGCCCACAGCTGGGGCTTCTGTTTTCTGACTTCTAGAAGTAGTACTAGTCACCAGGCTTGGCATATCTCTGCAGCATTACAGACCACAATCTGTTTGCAATTGCATGGCCTAGTGCTAGATGTGAGCATTGGCTAATTATATTGGGTTACAGCTGTCTTTGAATGCTTTCCTATAAACCATTTCTAAATGTCCACTTGCATAAAACTGTTTTTTTTTTCAAGGATCGGTTTTAAATCCAACCACATAGTTTGATCTCAATGGGATGGTTTGAAAGGTGGTGCAACCTGTCAAACTTTGCAGTCTGAGTTAAAATTGCAGCGGCTACAAAGCATCATGGCTGCTGCATGTGTACAGTCATTTCAAGCTCTGTTAGAATTTCTGTGGATGGATATGGGGTGATAGAAGTGTGACTCAGCTGCCTGTTTTTACCCCTCTCTAGCCACCAGTGTGAAAGAGCCAATAATCTTTGCAGCACAGACTAGAATGGTATATTTTTATGAAATCAAGAAATTTTCATGTAAAAGTTCATCTTTGTAATTAGATGCCTGATCTACTAGATCTTCAGGTTTAGGTGCACTTATTTGGGGCATAGTCTGTAAGGTCTTTTGATCAGAAAAGCTAGTATGGTTGTTTTTTATTGGTTAATTTCCATCAGCAGCTGTTGAATCTTTATTAATGTGTTGCTATTAAAGAAGCAGTAACTGAATTGAGAAATAGTTTGCCTATAGGCATGTTTTATGCAATGGCATGAGTACTGTATAAAGAATTAAAGAAGGTAGGGCTGAAATAAACTGCCACAGTCATTTCTAGCCTGCGCAGTGGGATAAAAGATCAGTCACGTTTAAAGAAATGAAATTGTGTAATTTATAATCCTACATGTTTGTTCTGTATCTCTTAACCATCTTTTGTTCCTTTTTTATAACTAGAATGCTTCTAGTCAGAAGGCTTAGATGTGGACTGTTACATTTTGAATTAAAAATACATCCATGGTCTGATATGCATCAGAGTGTTAATCTACCAAGTCCAACTGTAGGAAAAAGTGTTTTGGTTAGTGGAGAATGGGTTAGAACGTCTGTGATGTTTTGACTCCTCTGTGTAAGGGGCAGGAAATGATGAAAAAAAATCTGTCCTAGGAAAAAGACTGCATAAAACAACCTGTATATTTTAGCTTGGTGGGAGTGATAGCTCTTTGGCCTCATGCACACAGGGCATTTAGCCCCTGTGCATCAATTCAGAATCAAATTTCAAAGACAATGACAGGCAGAAATACACTGCGAATTTGATGCATTGGGGGCAAGTACTCAGTATGCTTACGATCTTCCCCCTCTGTTCAGTAATTTTTTAAAAAAAATGACTGGAATTCCAAATGTTTATACTGCAAGTCTACAATGAATGGTATGTTCTGAGGTGTGTGTGTGTGTGTGTGTTTTTTTTTTTTTTTTTTTTTTTTTTTTTTTTTTTTTTTATACAGTCTTGTACTTGTGTGGCATAGTGGGGGTTTTTTCGTTTTGGTGTTTTTTTTTTTTTTTCCCCAATGTTCTAACTGTTTTGTAAAGAGACTTACTTGATTGATCTGTGTCTTCTGACAGCTCTTTTCTATTTTAAAAAATAAAGCGTCAATGATTTCTGCATCTATAAAATTTGGAACCTTCTTGTTCGGTCTGAAATTCTAATGCAAAACAAAATGGGCACTAGCAGTGTTATACATTTCTTACAGCTTAAACAATGCCAACAAATTTAAAAGCCAAGAAGGACAATGCGTGCTGCAGCCTCGATTTGTGCTAATCTTTTTCTCTCTTTATTTCAGGTACTGGCATGGTTTGAGGAAGGTGAAGAAACAATTACAGCCTTTGTAGAACCTTTTGTAATTTTACTTATTTTAGTAGCAAACGCCATTGTGGGTGTTTGGCAGGTAAGCAAATATTTGTGGTATAGCATAAACTTTGTGTTCTTGCATCCTGTCATACATGTAAACATTTTAAGTACTCATTTGCAAAGGCTATCAGATTTCGGTCCTTAACAGGACACTCAACTGAATTAAAAAAAAAAATGATCGGTTAAGATAAAGTGTGGGTTTTTTTTTTTTTGTTTTTTTTTCCGTCTTGGCTGTCAAAGGCTATTTACATAAAGTGGCACTAAAGGCAAAAAGTTAAACATTGCAGGCAGGCAGACATCATCCTATGCTGGCCAATCAAGATGGCCAAAGACTGACACCCAAGTGAAGCTGGAAAGAAGATACTGGCAAGGGACCTCGCGAGCGTTGAACTGTTGGCACATATAATTAGATGTGTTCCTTTTAGTTCCGCTTTTAAACCAAAATGAACCACGACAAGGCAGGCAGCTGGAGAAGACCAAAATGGCAGTTCAGGACCCTGGCTATGTTACCTGAACAGCGGATCACAGTGCAGTCACGCTCGATTTGCTGTACAGTTGTGTATGTGAGATATGAAGATAATTTTTATAAAAATAAGATACAGGTATAAGAGGGGGAAACCAAGGGGACAGTTGCGTTTTACACTTTAGGCTGCACGTTTATACTTTCGCATGACCCCTTTATTCGGGGTTATGCATCTCACTATTGTAGATATGATATAAGGGATGTAGTTTCTTAATTGCCTTTTTAGTTTTAGTAAATCTCCCCTAATGTTTTGGGCAGTTTTGAAGTGTCTTTTAAAAAATTTAGTTTTTATTTAGACCAAAAAAAGCATGGTCTGTAGCTGTATACTGCATCTGTAAATTATAGTGTAGCATTTAGTATATACTTGAACCATCACTAGCTAGCACAGCATTTTTGTGCTTGCTAAAATATCTGCACATCTAGCCATGTCTTGAAAGTTTCAAATGTTGAAGCATCCTGAGACATACTTTAAGACGTATGTCACTTTCTTGGACAAACTTGCAGGATGGGAATTCAGATTTCAGTGGCTATGTGTTCTAGGCTAAAGAGGAAAAAAAAATCCTGTTCCCTACAAGTTAATGTCATAATATGCTAGTACCTTTTAAAAGGAACCCCTCCAGTGGCATGCTGTCTTCTCTCTGGGTTTGCAGGCTCCGGTCGTTTGAATGGCCGAGACGCAATATCACTCCTGCACAGGTGTATGGGAGTCAGTCATTGCACATCACTCTCAGTGGGCGATGCACTCAAGTATGCTTTCCATTCAGAGCGCAGTGCGCATGCACTGGTGACATTGGCTGTAAAACATGCAAATATCTACTATACGGTGCACTTTTGAGAGATACAGTGGATATAGAAAATAATCACATTTTGTTGCTTTGCAGCCTGAAAACAACTGTTTGTTTTATCCAGCTATATTTAAATACTCAGTTCAACTTATAACATTCAAGTGAAAGACAGAACACCAACATGTATAGGGAAAAAAAAATCAAAAACCGAATCACTGAGTTGGAAAAAGTATCACCCCCTTGTGTCAGTATTTTGTTAAATCGCCTTTTGCTTTAACTACAGTCTTTAGTCTGCTGGGATAGGTCTCTACTAACTTTTCACATTTACACCCTGGTCACACTGGATGTGAATTGACATGCGATTTACATGCCATGTGACTTGAATTTACAGCGGTCATATCGGTGCGGTTCCGACTTGGTCGGAACCACAACAATTTCTAAAGTAGTCTATGCAGTACTTTTTGGTGTGATTTGCATAGACACCTGTGTAAGATGTCTTTCAAATCGCGCCTGAAATTGGCATGTCACTGATGTCGGCACTTCACTGTAAGTCACAAGTTTTCAAAGTTGGGTTTGATGTGACCAGAGTATTAGACTTTGCAATGTTTACCCTCTCTTCTTAGCAAAACTGCTAAAGTTCTGTTAACTTTGATGACCGTTTGTGGACTGCAGTCTTCCAGTTATTTAACAGATTTTCAGTGGGGTGTAAAATATAACTAACGGCAAAACGTTTGATGGAGTGGAGAGTGATAAGAACACCTGTCAGGTTTTATTGCGGTCTGTGTCTCCGTTAGGGAGATTCACCCTCTCGATTTTGTACTGTTTATCATTATTATTGACAGTGAAAGTAAAATTATTTTGTGTTCTCCCCAGAAAAGTAATAGAGGGGCAATCTTCCAATGGGGACACTAGTTCTGGTGACCTGGGGATCCCCAATGAATTCCCTTAATTTGCAGGGATTTCCTCTCCCTTCCTGTTTGGCTATGGGGCAGGAAGTTTAAGAGAAATCTTTGCAATGGGACACGGATGACGAAAAAAAAAAATCTGACAAGGGTCATAACCCTCCCTTGCTCTATCCAAAATGGAACAAAAGTTTTGCCTATAGTTCTACTTTAAGTCTGGGCTCTGACTAGGCCGTGCAAGGACATTCTCCTTCAACCACTGTGCGGTCATTTTTGCTGTATGCTTTGGGTCATTGTCATGTTGGAAGGTAAACCTTTCCACTGACAACTTTCTGGCAGAGGGCAGCAGATTTTCCTCAAGAATTTGTCGATATTTTGCTCCATCCATTTTTCCTTCTATCCTGACAAGTGCTCCAGTCCCTGCTGCAGAGAAACTCCCCCATACCTGGATATTACCACCTCCATGCTTTACTGTAGGAATTGTGTGATTTGGATGGTGAGCTGTGTTGGATTTTTATCAGACATATTTAGTGTTGAGGCCAAATAATGAAATTTTAGTCTCACCTGAAAACACCTTTTTCCATGTGGCCTCAGAATCTTCAAGGTGCGTTTTTGGGAAAGCTAAGTCGTGACTGTAGGTGGCCTTTCTTAAGGCGTGGATTTTTTTCTTGCAACCTTCCCATACAAGCCACATTTGTGGAGAATTTGTGATATTGTTGTCACGTGCACACAATGACCGCTATGCCATAAATTCCTGCAAGTGCTTCAGAGTTGCTGTAGACCTCTTGGTAGCCTCTCTGACCAGTTTCCTCCAGGCTCTTTCGTCCAGTTTGGAGCAACGGCCTGATCCAGGGATTGTCTGTGTTGTATCAAATACCTTCCACTTAATAATAGACTTCACTGTGCTTCTAAGCATTGATAAAGCTCTTTTCATGCTGAGCTAATCAAAATGACCACAGTTGATCACAGTTGAAAGTCAAATGGCTTTGTGTGCCATTTGAGAAGGTGATTAGCTACACCTAATTGAGTTTACAAGTCATTTTTAGAAGGGGTGATCTTTTTTTCCAACTCGGAGATTGTTTTTGATTTTTTTTTTTTCCTGACATGTTGGTATATCTTTTCACTTTGATGCTATAAGTTGCACTGAGTAAATACAGCTGGATAAAACAAAAACTGTCTGTCTTCATTTCAGGCTGCAAAGCAACAATGTGATTATTTTAAAGGAGGGGTGATTGTTTTCTATACCCACTGTATTCATTTTACCAACAAGTAAGCTATATTATAAGTTTACCTGTAAGTAAAACTGAAAACAAAAAAGCTTGCTACTACTCCAATGATTTGTTAGGTGTAACAGTCTTGTGACATGAAAATCTAACAGTTCATAGAGAGAGAGATTTTGGTTTTTATTTAATATTCAAAGTTTTAGTATAAAGCTAACAGAAGCAAGTACATGTAAAGACTTCAGTTCAGAAGCCAGAGCAAATTTTTTCAGTATAGTGTTTACACTGAGCTACTTTCAGTTGGTCTTACATTTTCCATCAAATTATGTAACTTCCTCTTGGTAAAGTGTTTTGCAATCTCCCATTTTATAAAACTCTCCTTTTTTTTGCCTCTAATGGCCTTTTCTTCCCCCTTCCCCATTAATGAACATATAGTATATTTTAACAAAGTAATAATGTGAACTTATTGCATGCTTTCCCCAAATGAAGATTGTCAAAAAGATTTCGGACAAGTCTGTCATTTAAAAAAAACAAACATGCAGAGTAGGCTTTATTTTATGGTCCTCTTTTGTGTGTTATGTAAAGTCAGCCCTCAAAAAGGTAACCTCCTACATGAATGTTTTTTAACGTTAGTAATAGTCCATTCATTTTGAATTGGCTGCCAGCAGACAGGTAAATTTGCCTGCAATATTTTTTCTAATGTGATGTGGCGCACTACAACACATGTGGTGTTGGGGTGTTAATTTAACCACTTGCCTTCCTGAGTATTTACCCTCCTTCCTGACCAGGCCAGTTTTTGCTTTACGGCGCTGCGTTACTGTAACTGACAATTGTGCGTTCATGCAACCCTGTACCCAAATTAAATTTACGTCTTTTTTTTTTTTTTTTCTCCACAAATTGAGCTTTCTTTCAGTGCTATTTAATTGCCTGTGCCGTTTTTTTTTTTTTTTTTTTTTTTTTTGCCATATATATAAATAAAAAAACAATTTTGAGAAATAACAATATTTTTGACTTTTTTACTATTAAATGTGTTCAGCAAAAAAATTTAAAAAGCCAACTTTCGTCAAATGTAGGCCAAACTGTATTCTGCTACATGTCTTTGCTAACAAAAAAAAAAAATCCCAATATGTGTAAATGAATTGGTTTGCATGAAAGTTTATAGTGTTTTTGCAAATGGCGGTGTATATATAACGGGGGTTTTTTTTTTTTTTTTTTGTTTTTTTTTTGCTTTTTTTCATTTTTACTAGTAGTGGCAGTGATCAGCAACTTATAGTGGGACTGCGGCAGACATTCTGAAACTGGGGGGAACTGACTTGGTGTCACTGACATCCCCAGTGACACCAATACAGTGATCAGTGCTAAAAAAAAAAAAAGCACTGACACTGTGCTAATGGTACTGGGCAGGAAGGGGTTACCATGAGGGGCAATCAAAGGGTTAACTGTGTGCTGGGAGTGTTTTACTAGAGGGCGGGATGTGTGTGATTCACTGTAATCGCACTGCTCTGGATGGCTGTGCTGTGCACAGCCATCCACAGCAGTGTGCGCGAGCTGACAGGGAGGAGGACTGTTAGTACACTAAACAGTCGTCCTCCCCGACGGAGATCCTTGTTAATCACCAGGCGCCAGCGAGTAATTACCAGCTGAGCCCGGTGATTGGCGGCGCGGGTAGGGGGCGTGCGTGTATATATATGTGATTTTGTGCACCGCTGCCACCCTGTAGCAGTATTTCTGCTATAGGGCAGTTGGCAAGCAGTTAAAATTAATATTACAGCAGGTCAACCTTACACACAATGTGCGGAGCCTCGGTGCAGTGGTGTGAATGAGCCCTAAAAGGTTCTGTACAATCTTGTGTAATCATTGATGAGAGCTAATGCATATTGCTACAGCCAGATACTTGGTTCCAAAACTTCACTGAACCTGTGGGTTTGCAGACAGCGGAGAGAAGTAATTGATGTTTATGCACAGATTCAAATTGTCTAAACCTATTTAAATATACCAAGAAAACATCTTTTTCCATAATCTCTTTGCGCAAAATGAAAATGCTGCCATATTAAAAAGTTGTGTATAATGAATTATTGCTTTTATTAATTGGAATTGATTACATTTTGGGGGTTGCAAATGTGGGAGCACAGTCTCGTGTGAAATAAGCTCACTTTTTACTGCAGAATGTTCCCAGTTTTCACCACTACTGTAAAATGCATGCAGTCTGCATGTCCAGTCTATAGTAATACATACACTGGAAATGTATGTAATGTCCTGACCTCCCTTGAAGACCCCTTTATCTTAGTTGATCCTGACTGGTTTATATGCGATGGACAGAGCATGTTCACTTTAACATAATTGTAGGAAGCCCACTGTTTGTTTTTCATGTAAAAATATCTTGTTTCAGGAAAGAAATGCTGAAAATGCTATTGAAGCACTCAAGGAATATGAGCCTGAAATGGGTAAGGTGTACCGACAGGACAGAAAAAGTGTCCAGCGGATTAAAGCCAGAGATATTGTTCCTGGGGACATTGTCGAAGTTGCAGGTGAGGCTTCACTTTTGTAGTCATGTTAAAAGTAGGCATTGCAGTTAACAAGGCTTGTTAGTTAGAACTTTTCAAGTGGCAGTAAGCCACATAGTCTACACTGCAGGTTCAAACATAACAAACCGCTTTAGTGTTTCTTGTTAGCTGAATTGCTTGTTTTCCAGTACATCATTACTTTTATTTTCAATGCTTATATTTGGGACTGATCGTTTCATTGCTCTGATCCCTGTGTACGCTTTGAATTAATACATTTATTGCCTGAAGCTGAGCATTATGCATGCTTGAAGCTTTAATATGTCTATAAATGTCAGATTGCTTTTAAGAGCAGACATTTCTACGATTTATTTAATGTCTGCCGCACTCATGTTACGTTTCTGATGTATGTGGACGTGTTGCTAATACCTTTTATGCTTAGTATTGTATGGACTTTGCCATAGAATTTGTAGAGAGATGTCCATGTAGGGAAATGGAGCACCTCACACAGGGATGCATATCTTGAAATGGAATTCTAGGCCGTATGCCAATGACCTTTTGTATGTTGAAACCTGTTTTGCCTTCTGTGACAGTGGTGAAAATGACTGACTGTCATAGATTTTGTTTTATGATGTCCGTAAGAAAGCTCTTTTAGCGTCACACGTGTATGTGTGTGGGTTTTTTTTTTTTTTTTTTTTACAAATATAAACTTTGGTAGTAATACACTCTGTCCTGAAAGCACACACAGCTAAAGTTGGTGCTGCAGAGCTTTACAAAAAACTATTCTTTAATACTAGCCTAATAGACAGGTGTTTTTTTTTGTTTTGTTTTTTCTTCTAACCACTCGCCCTACAGAGGATTTATCTCCCTTCCTGACAAGGCCATTTTTTTGCATTACTTTGACGATTCAACATGAAATTTACATCCCTCCCCCACAAATAGAGCTTTCTTTCAGTGGTATTTGATCGCCTGTTTGGTTTTATTTTTTGCGCTATAAACAAAAGGCTGACAATTTTGAGAAAAAAAAACAATATTTTTTACTTTTTGCTATTTAAATGTCCAATAAAAGATGTTAAAAATAAAATCTCGTCATAAATTTTGGGCAAAATGTATTCTGCAACATGTCTTTGCTAAAAAAAAAAAATCCCAATACATGTAAATTAGTTTACATGAAAGTTATAGCATTTACAAATGGCAGTATATTTACTGAAATTTGTTTTATTTTTATTTATTTTTTTTTACTAGTAATGGGGGCGATCAGCGACTTAAAGCAGGACTGCGGCGGGCATTCTGACACTGGGGGGAACTGACTTGGTGTCACTGACATCCCCAGTGACAGTACAGTGATCAGTGCTAATAAAAAGCATTGACACTGTACCAATGGCACTGGGCAGGAAAGGGGTTAACATCCGGGGTGATCAAAGGGTTAACTGTGTGCTCTTACTATGGGGTTTTGTCTGTGCTTTCCACTGTAAGCACACTCCTTTTGTATGGCTCTGCTATGTAATAACATACAAAACAGTGTGCTGGAGCTGACGGGGAGAGAACTGTAATGTTTACATATAGTTCTCTCACCCCATCGGTATTACGTGACGATCACCGGGTGCCGGCGAGTAATCGCCTGCCAGGAAATGGTGATCGACAGCCGAGGCCGTGAATGGCTGCACGCGTAAAGCGCGCGGTATGTGTGCGCCCCCTACCTGGAAATGCAAATCATATATATATATATATATATATATATATATATATATATATATATTACATATTACAGTGGGGATCGAAAGTTTGGGCACCCCAGCTAAAAATTTGTATTAATGTGCATAAAGAAGCCAAGGAAAGATGGAAAAATCTCCAAAAGGCATCAAATTACAGATTAGACATTCTTATAATATGTCAACAAAAGTTAGATTTTATTTCCATCATTTACACTTTCAAAATAACAGAAAACAAAAAAATGGCGTCTGCAAAAGTTTGGGCACCCTGCAGAATTTATAGCATGCACTGCCTCCTTTGCCAAGCTGAGACCTGCCAGTGTCATGGATTGTTCTCAATCATCATCTGGGAAGACCAGGTGATGTCAATCTCAAAGGTTTTAAATGCCCAGACTCACCTGACCTTGCCCCAACAATCAGCACCATGGGTTCTAGAAAAGTGAAACTGAAACTAGTTGACGCTTACAAAGCTGGCGAAGGCTATAAGAAGATAGCAAAGTGTTTTCAGATGTCAATATCCTCTGTTCGGAATGTAATTAAGAAATGGCAGTCATCAGGAACAGTGGAAGTTAAAGCAACATCTGGAAGACCAAGAAAAATATCAGACAGAACAGCTCGCAGGATTGTGAGAAAAACAATTCAAAACCCACGTTTGACTGCACGATCCCTCCAGAAAGATCTGGCAGACACTGGAGTTGTGGTACACTATTCCATTATAAAGAGATACTTGTACAAATATGGTCTTCATGGAAGAGTCATCAGAAGAAAACCTCTTCTATGTCCTCACCACAAAAATCATTGAACTTTGCAAATGAACATATAGACAAGCCTGATGCATTTTGGAAACAAGTTCTGTGGACCGATGAGGTTAAAATTGAACTTTTTGCCTGGAATGAGCAAAGGTACGTTTCGAGAAGAAGGGGTACAGAATTTAATGAAAAGAACCTCTGTCCAACTGTTAAGCATGGGGTTGGATCAATCATGCTTTGGGGTTGTGTTGCAGCCAGTGGCACAGGGAACATCTCAGAAGTAGAAGGAAAAATGGATTCAATAAAATTTCAGCAAATTTTGGATGGTAACTTGATGCCATCTGTGAAAAAGCTGAAGTTAAAGAGGATGGCTTCTACAAATGGATAATGATCCTAAACACACCTCGAAATCCACGGGGGATTACATCAAGAGGCGTAAACTGAAGGTTTTGCCATGGCCTTCACAATCTCCTGACCTCAACATAATTGAAAATCTATGGATAGACCTTAAAAGAGCAGTGCGTGACAGACAGCCCAGAAATCTCAAAGAACTGGAAGACTTTTGTAAGGAAGAATGGGCAAAGATACCTTAAACAAGAATTGAAAGACTCTTGGCTGGCTACAAAAAGCGTTTACAAGCTGTGATACTTGCCAAAGGGGGCAGTACAAGATATTAACTCTGCAGGGTGCCCAAACTTTTGCAGACGCCATTTTTTTTTTTTCTGTTATTTTGAAAGTGTAAATGATGGAAATAAAATCTAACTTTTGTTGACATATAAGAATGTCTAATCTGTAATTTGATGCCTTTTGGAGATTTTTCCATCTTTCCTTGGCTTCTTTATGCACATTAATACAAATTTTTAGCTGGGGTGCCCAAACTTTCGATCTCCAGTGAGCTCAGAGCTATTGCATCAGGGGAGAGAGAGCATGTGATGGGCTTTGAATGGGAGAAAGAGCTCATTCCTGTGATGGTCAAGGTAAGCAATAACAGATGGGCCTCTTTTAGCAATGTCCTGGGAGTTTTCCATTCAGGCTTCATGAGGTATGTAAACGGCTTACAACTAGAGCAACGGCATTTATTCAATTTTGGTCAAAGCTTTACAGTTTATCTACTGGCATCCCTTATCTGTATAGACAGCTTTTTGGTAAAGATGAACAATAACTTTTTAAGGCTCAGCTCACACTATTGTGATGTGATTTTTTTTCTTGATTTTGTAGTGTGTCTTTGGTTGCATTTTGGAAGTGGTTTGTGTTTTCTGTGAGGCTAAATCGCACTGTAAATGCATCAAAGTAGCACAAGAAACTTGCCCTGCACAGACTTGATTTGAATGGGCACCATTGAAAATAATGTGATTTTATCTTGTCATGCAATTCTGTATGACTCAAGTTGAATCTGAAATCGTAACAAAACTCGACCGCGCTTTTCCTATTTGTGTACTGTCCAAATAAATAATGAGGAAAAAATGTAAAATTGCGCTATCATAAATACATTAATAGATTGTCCATATACACCTTCATAAAGTCCAAATAGTGAGCAGTGCAAATTTAATCCACACTAAGGGTGATATATCTGTGCCATCATATACCGTGCTTCTCTCCACCACTAACCAAAGGGTATTTACTTCGTGAAAAAGAACGCCACATTCCCTTTCCCAGTATCAACTGGTCATCTCTGATTTTGCTCCAACAGACCTCCAATACACTTTTACAAATGGATAAATGTAAATCAGATGATTTAATCAGTACTCTTGTGTCTTACAGAGGACTCCGTAATATGCCCAGCTCATGTCCGGGGAGAGATAAGAGAGCCTCTCATAGTGTAATAATATCTTTTTAATTAAAATGAACTTGCAAGCAAATAAAACCACATAATCATGTAAACAAACATAGAGAGGAACACCGATATGCGTTCCAATAACCGGAAGTGACGTAACCCTGAAGTCCCACCCTGCACATTTTGTCAGCGAACATCTGATGTGATCTGAAATTGAACTAGTGTGAACCAGGCCTGCACCCCCATTCATACCAGATCACAGTGCGGAAAAATGAATTCTGTGCATGTCTCCTGCACTGTGTTCAAAGTGTACTGTAGTTTGTGATCTGCAGCAGGTTTCAAATTTAAGTTAACGCCCCAAACGCAGATCGCAAGCATAGTGCTTTTGCCTGCATTGGATCACATGGTATACAGAAGTGTCATGTGATCTAGTTGCTGTACAAGTCCTCATAGTGCATGCCCTAATTTTGGTGTGGTACACAGGAATGCGCAACTCTCTCCTGTGCAATTCCCAGTGTGAACAAGCCATAAAGGTGGAATGTTGCTAAAATATTGATATTGCTGTCAGTGGCTGATTTGCCATGAAGTCCATGGTTCTTAGTTGGTCAGTGTGTTATGACGAAAAGGGGTATTTCACACATAATATGCACTAAAATCAATACAAAGCTTTATTCCATATTAACATAAAAAAAGAACAACATCACATTAGTAGTTTTTGAAACATGTAAAGTCAACATGATACTTCATATGGCTTGAAGTTCACAATGCAACATTTCCAACTCGACATGTTTC